ACGTTACTTTACAACGCACTGCCATATGACATTAAACAATTGAAGTCGGTTCACAAATTTAAGTTAAAAGTAAAATCTTTTCTGCTGCATAACTGTTTCTATACAATTAGAGACTATACTGATTATCAAAAGAAAAAATAATGTTTATTTTAACAAAACTAATATATCATGAATTAGTATACATTGTATTGTATATTTTTAAAAGATTTAATATGTTTGTAATAAATAATGTACTTCAGCTTCCGGGTCAATGACCCCCATCTCGATTAAGTTCTTTTCCAGTTTCCCTGATCCATTGAGCAAATGCTGAGATGGCTCCTTGTTTTGCTTCTGGACGTAAATGTAGCTTCACTATGCGCACGTTTTGTTGAACTCTTCTTTTGCTTGTAATGGTAAGAGTAGAGGTAAGGGCGAGTTGCTATTTTGTTAGCAATGTAGGAAAATCATACTTACAATTCGTGTACATGCAAATACGTTTTCTATAACTCAGAAACGAAAATGACTATTTTTCAAATATTGCTAATCTTACGATTTTTAAAATTTATTTATTGATTTTATTTATTTATTTATGTTAAACTTTTACTTACATTTCAACTATTTATAGTAAAAATGACGGGGAGGAATTCTGGAACTCGATAAAACGTACGCAGATAATCTTCCCCCCCCCCCGTCACATACAGATTTTACCGTTTTTTTTTGACTGAATAAATCTAGATTTTCCTTTTAAAAATAATAGTAGAAAACAATAAGTTTTATTATGATTTGAATAAGCTCCTACGCTCATACATAATCTAAACTTTTATTTTCAACGTGAATCTATTACATATAGTGCAAAAAATATTTGGATATTGCCTTGTAATTTCTCTAATTGTAAACGTGATATCAAAAGTAATCAGATTGACTTTTAATCGGAGGTCATGCCATGAGGAGAATATTGGGTGGAATATATTTTGAAAAGACAATTTGAAAAAAAAGGTGTTAAGAATGGTAGGCAATAAACGCTGCACGGTTATTGTAAAGAACTGACGGCGAATTGTAAAGAAGGGGAAATAAATTACATTTAATTATTTTTTATCCCTTCGCCAAGTTGAATTTTCATTTTTTTAATAGATAATTTGCTTGAGATACATAGTTAGTGAATTCCAGTATGAATTGCGGTGACTGGACAGAGTCTATTGTACGTATGATACAGTATTGGGTCGAGGTAAGCACAGCAATAATGAAGAACGTAACGGCTCTAGTTTAAGCATTTAAAGTTTTTAGAGACGTGTATGTGAAGGCCATTGTGCAAGACTTTATGGAGAAGCAAGAGGCAATGCAATATTCTTTTTTCGATAGAGATAATTTTTGTCTGTATACAAACACACGATTGTACTTAAGATCGAACATGAAATGCATGCATGCATGCGTAATGTGCGTATTGCAACTTGCGTTGCTGTATTTAGCTTTTAAGTCGATAATAGGATCACGGTAATAGGAATGCTGCATGTTAAGTAAATTGATTAGGCTCATGAGTGTGTTTATCGGTGGTAGTTGTCGTACGAATTTTAGAGAACGGGTACCTGTGAAGACTCTCCGGAAAATCATATCTACTTGCGTAGACCAGCTAAGATGATTGTCTGTGTGAATTTCTAAATTCTTTACGTCATTAAACCAGTGAATAGGGCGACTATTTACCTACTGATTATCAGAAGACATGATTTATCTAATTTGTTGATGGCTTTGCAAGAACATAACTGCAGGCTTTATAATTTTATTGGGTTTAATAAAAGTCAGTGCTACGGTCCATTTATTGAGAGCATTCAGGTCTTCATTCATTGTTTGACCTACTCGTAAATACTGACAGGTATACGCTGACATAAAGGTGAAGGTAGTCTTGTACGTTTTATGACGACAGTATTTAATACATTGCCCTACGTAATCTTACGTAAATGAAGAAAGATAACGGTATGAGGGTTTCACGATTTTGAAAGATAGTGTGTGAACCAGAATATCATGTATTTAGCAAAATCCAATGCTTTAATTTTTTCTTGTACGATATTGTGATCGACCAAATGAAATACTTTACTGAAATCTAAGAGAACTATATTGTTAATACACCGTTGACAAGAACATTTCTAGACTCTTCTGTCAAACTTAAAGGCGCATACTTTCCTATCCTTTGCGTGATCGGAAGCCATGTGTTTGTTCACTTACAGGATTGGTGCTGTCTAGATAATCTATAATTTGGTGTCGCGCACTTTTTTCTAATGCTTTGGAAGTTGTCTGTAGAATAATAATTGAACTGTACGCAGGAATTGGGGGTAGGAGCCGTGCAGGTGATACCACGGTATGACAGGGTAGGGCGGGAAGGGAAGGATATACCAGTATTTGAGTTCATTCCATTTCTTGTCAAATAGGTGATTATGATTAATAAACATCGCAGGGTATCGCAGGGTCCTTCAGTTAATGGAAGAGATCATGTTACTAATAAACTTTTTACGTCATATTTCATGTTGAGTTCAAACGTAAATTGTAATTGTCAAACGCTGCTAACACGTTCACTGCAAATAAATCTCGCATGAACGACTTTGGCAATGAGAATTCTTACTCTTGGAAAATGTTTCAGTATTTCAACGCGCTTCCTTAAGACAACCGTGTTTAAAATAATCTTATTAATTTATTTTTCAGTCATGAAGTCAGTGATGTGAAAAGTGTGCTACTGACGTCGCCAGTACAATTTTAATATTACTGCTCAGTGAATAGATTGTCGTGAAAAAAAGAAACTATTTGATACCCATTGTTCAATCAAATTCCAACTTCGCGTTTGCAATAGAGCAAGCCCGAAACCTACCGAAGGGAAGGCCACCTGCTACACTAGGATCGTCATTTTATGGAATATCACTTTCAGTTATTGTGCGTGACCTCTTATAATACTCAAATGTTTAACAACATAAAGGTTTATAGGTTATAGAATATTGTTTTTAAAATAAAGGCGAAATAAAATCGTCCGGGAAACAATGATGATCACACGTATAATTTTCATGCTTTCAAAATGAAGATCTTAAATGTTTCTAATAATAACCCCATCTAATAATGAATTTCACTAGTCTTATTGAAACATTCATGCCTTCCAGAGAGCGCTTGTGCCCCGTAGGCTGTCTCTCCTTGGGATCACCCACGGAAAATCCTTTCAAAGTTTTCTGTCTACGATCTTGCGCGGCGCAGCTGATTTCGTGTGGTCGCGGGTGGAAAGCGAAGGCTCGCTGCGCAGTTGTGGGAGAGCGGGCGTGGGCGGCGAGCGCGCCCGACCTCCCGCCAGGCAGACACACTTTTGAGGAGGCCAGCGGCACCTTCCGCCTTCCAGGCAGCGGCAGGCCGAGCGCCAGGCTTTCAGTCAACCATTCAAAGAAGTGATGCTAAAACAGCACGTACTTTCTCGCCCGTATTTTCACGCAAAATTACGAGAAAAGTACTCAAATTTTCGAAAAAGTGTACAGGTCCTTATTTTAAAATATGTCTTTAAGGAACAGATTTTATTAAATGTTTTAGTTGCAGGAAGACGCCGAAAAAAGGCTGAACGTTTGCAATTTTTGAAAAATCAGAATAATCTTTGGACATGAAACCTGCTCCAGTCTCTTAAATGTCCTTCACACTACCAAACAACAAAATTAAATAAAATATAATGGAGCCATTTTTGTATGTTTCATGTAAAGTAACCCCCTAAATTAAAATATCGATTTCAAATTCAAGGGGCCGTGATATCAGCCAGATCGGTTGAGTCATATTAATTTTGGAAAAAATTGGCTTAACGGTTTAGCCGCTAGTGTTGTTCACGGAACGAGGACAGACATTTTGATGTCATTCGATTTTTCGGTATGAAGGATTTAAAAAACATGAATTCAGGCTGCACCACGTGTTAAAGGATTTTTTTTTCTTCTAAATTTAGCAACTGGATTTATCCACTTTTTCCACACTATCCAGTTTTTAGTTTTTGCAAAAATTCGCCGTGTTTTCGCCCAGTATTACATAACTTTCTCTCTACTCGGTAGCGAGAAAGTAAAAAGCAACCGTGACATCAGAAATATCTTGGTAGTGATGGAAAAACTCTTTCAGATAATTATTAATAGAAAGATTCAATTAGTAGATCGAAAAGTAATTATTAATCAATTAAATGCAATGAAAGATGTTATAGTAAGGAAGCAAAACATCTCTGTTCAGATACCATTGTTCTGTGTACAGGGATCCAAAGCCTAAATTGCACTCGCAGATTCCACACACATTGCACACTCTGTGGGATGTCGGGCAAAGGGATTTCAGAAGCATTAGCCCTTTGCATTGGTATGCAACCAGCATAATGCAGCTCATACGGCATCTCGGAGATGACAGGAGAATAACGGCTACCAGCTTGTAAATATATGTAAAGTGATATGACCCACAACTCGTAGGGAATATGATAGATGTCATGCCAAAATCCCTAATTTGTTCTAAAACGTGAATTTAAATATGTGTAGATTCCCAATGAACGATTCATGTATCAATTACACCGAAAATATGAAGTAAGAAATTGAATAAAAACAATTATATATTGGCAGACTATTATCTCTCATGACTGACGAAGTAGGTTACAAGCTGGAATGGGGGCATGCAAAGTATCTGCTATGAGCTGTGCCGCCATTTTCCATTGTCATCTTATGGACGCCTTACGGCCAAATGCAAAGGTTTACAATATGGATAGAAGACGAGAGGACTGGGAATCCCTTCACACCACGAATACCACTTAAAACATTTAATTATACTGCTGTTTCTAACCCGTCTTAGTGTACACGTACTGGAGCTCCAAGTCTCTGTCAAATGCATATCTTCGCATAGGGAGGGAGGGACACCGTTCACTTCCATTATTTTTGCTATTTACCCTACCCTCGTTCGTCACTGCGGCGATGTCTCAAAGCAAAAGCCGTGGCCGCACGGAGCTGTGAGGACACGCCCCCACGTTGTTCCTTCCTTCTTTCGTGGCGCAGGAGAAGCGATTCGTGGAGCGGGAGATCCTGTCGCTGCTGGGGCTGCAGCGGCGCCCGCGCGCGGCCCCTGGGCGCGCGGCCGCCGCCGCCGCGCTGCGCCGCAGCCACCTGCAGCAGCAGCAGCAGCACCGCCCCCGCGGCGCCGGGGCACCCGAGGCGTCGGCGTCGGTGTCGGCGTCGGCGTCCCTGTCGGCGTCAGCCGAGGGCGCGCCCGCCGCGGGGCCCGCGCCGCGCTTCCTGCTGGGCGTGTACGAGGCGCTGCTCCGCCAGCAGCAGCTGCAGGGCGAAGGGGCGACCGCCATGGCGGAGGCCGAGGAGGCGGCCAGGGCCCTGGGCTTCGACCTCAGCGGCTACGACCGCGCCGTGCTCGACAAGAGCGACGTCATCATGGGCTTCGTCAGCCGACGTGAGTTCCTCCTTATTTCCTACTTCTTGCTTCTCCCATTTACGTTCAGACCTGAGGCATCGGTTTCTTTCGCACTGTAATTGATGCCCATGTTCAGGCCTTGTCTCTGTACAACAGGTTAAATTGAGTAAATTTTTCAAGGCGTAAGTGATCGTTAATAGAACCCTCTGACAATTAACAACTGAACTCTCGAGACGATCGATCGAGTTCAGAACAGTTTCGAAGCACAGATAGGACGTCTATAGCGCAGTTGCCGGAGCAACTTGGTGTAATCCAGAACACCCGGGTTCCAATCGCCACACAGATTACATGCTCTGAAGAGTGGGGACAATGGGGTTACATGCTTTAAAGATTGGCGGCTCTTCTGCTAGTGAGACGAAGTCATGTCTAAACGCATTAACCACAAGAAGGCTATAAATAAAATAATTAAGGAAAAATATGTATTTAAAAGAACAGGGAAGTTACCAGAGTAATCTGGAAATATTCGTATTGAGAGCCTTCTGTTGATCGTTACTTCGCAAGAAGAGAAAGTTTTGTTATCGTGCGCCGAAAAACGGGGGATTTTCGGCAAATAAAACTCTTAGATTTTAGGCATTATAAGGCTCCTATGGACACTCATCAACTTTTTTAAAGCTTCACAATCTGTTCTTTCTAAAACGATAGGCGTGAAAACATTTTTCGAAGGTTATTTTGTGTCACAAATGTTGACTCCTTTTAAGGAAATTTTGTCAAAATTTTAAATTTTAAATTTAATTTGTGTAGTAATGGTAGGATTTAGTTTGTTGAGTCTGAATTATAAAATGCAATACTGTTATACTGTATCCCAAGTTTCTTTTCTCTTCTTATAACATTGTGGTAGCTATTCTATGTCAAAATTGCGAGTTATTGACACTCGGCAACTATGTTGAAATTTTATATAAGGAATGTATTATTAAAAGGAACATTTATTTTAAGAATTGGATTGATATTGATAGAGAGGGAAAATTCACGCATGTTAGCTCAGTTTAATTTGTTTAGCAATAAGGCAAAAGGAAATATTGTATTCCATAGTTGCGAAAATCTAATAGTCATGGACTGGAAATGTATAACGACGCTGCACGAGATCAAAGAAACTACTACATCTCAAAAATTGTTTTACCTGTCAAGCTGCGCCGTCGCAAAAGTGCCTTTGAGGGATTTGAATAAAAATTTATAAAATTTCATTAAAATATTTGATCTGCGTGCTTAGTTCTTTCCCAAAATTACTTTAAATGACCCATTTATATCTCCAGGACATCTTTTTATTTTCACGGGATCAAAACTCAAAAATGGTACGAAATATCAAAACGTATGTAAAGATGTTTCTTAAATACTTTATTACACCTCATTTAAAACAAAAAGCTAAAAGACAGATCAGGGAGTTTGGATATAATAATGTTATCATCAGACATCTTTAACGGCGACTCAAGAGAAGTCCAACCACAACAATTGGAGGCGCCCTGGACTTTAACTCACTGTAAGGTGTCGAAATTAAGGATCAAAAAAGAAAATGCGTTTCCAAAGGGTTTTGCATACTCGTGCATCACTTCGGTCTGTTCTACCACCCGGGCCTGCACTGTTGGACACTGTAGTTCCGAGTATGAGCGATTGTGACTCTTAAAGAAAAAAAACGGTATTAATTATTTTATTGTATAGAATCTTTCATGGAAGAAAAGAGGCAATCGCTCATGGTCGTGACAAGATACGAACTTGAAAATTTTTGTATTGAGCGGGAACTATAACATCAGCTAATGTCTCTGCCATGCAGTCCAATTGTACTCTTTTAATAATTTAATATTGTGGGCACTAATAAGGAATACATTTTTTTAAATGTTTAGTTGAGGGAATGAAAACACGAAAATTATCTGGAGGGTATTTCCTCAGACAAATGTTTTCTTTTCTCGCGATTCTTGGTCACAGAGCGAACATTTGTAGTGTGAACCAACGGATATTCTCAACGTAAAACTAGTTGCACGACTTATCTTCTCATCTTCATGTAGTATGGGAGCAATAATTTCCTGCTTTGATTAGAACAACTAATGGCGACTACACGACTTCATATCCACGATGCGTGCAGAATCATGGGAACTGATGATTCCCATTCTGCTGATTTTAGAAATTAATAGAGCGGAAGTGTTTTACAAACGACTAAAAATGGTTAAAAATTGGTTTGAAGAGGAAACCTAAAGCGCAGGTTTTTTTAGCCTTTACATTTCTCTATGCAGACCTCGGTAGCTCGTTGATAAGCATGCTCGCTGTCCACGGCGCAACGACGGGTGCTGTTCCCGGTCGGTGCAAAAATTGTGCCCTTTCCTTGCATTGTCTCAGTGTCTGTTGCAGAGTGACGATGAGAAAGCTCACTTCTCAGGTTGAGAATACCAAAAGTACAGCGCAGGAATGGCTATTCGCTAACCACACCTACCCCTTAACCCCCTAATCATACACACGTTTTAAAAACAAATACTTTACCAACCACAATCTCATTTAGTGTTTGAGCAAGTTTTATATTATTTTATTTTATTTTAAAACTAAACTTCTCATTACACTCTACACCTAATTTCACGTAATTTTAAGTATTGCTTTTCAGTTTCTTATTACTTCACTACATTTAATAGCATTTCAAAAACAAATCGTATGTGTAAAATATGTGATATTAATATTCAGTTTTCTAACGTCTGAGGAAACCTGCCTCGAACCCGCTTTGTCAACCACAAATTCCGCTCGGACAGGTAGGGGATCGAGCTCCGGCCGCAGCAGTGGGAAATGGGAGGTGCGATAACATAGCAACGAGTCGCCTCATGATGGCAATGGTGATGAGAGATTGTGGCGGTAATGATTACAATAAAAAATGTACAAGGCACTGGCTGAGTTAAGCTCAGAGCCAGCATTGACGCAGTCTCTGCAGCAATTGTGACCGAGAGGTTCCGAGTTTGAGTCCCGATTGTGTAGGAGTTTCGAGACTAGGTTGTGTATAGCTAGATGGAATTCGGCCACTGTGGCGGAGAAGAGCGCTAACGGCCGGGTACTCTGGTCGAAAGCTTTGCGTGGGCGCCCGCAGCGAAGGCAGGGGCGGCGCGATGCTGCTTGTGGGTGGCCGCTGGCGCAGGCACGAGGTGGGTGGCGGGGAGGCGTCGTGCGCTCCCCGGGGGCACGGGCCGGACGAGGAGGTATTTCCGGGGCGGAGAGGAGGCGGCCCTATACCTGCCCACCTTTCCCACATTCCCCGGCGCGCCCTCGTGGAGATTGGGAGCGCCACCGCAGAACACAGGGGAAAACGCCGCTGCCTAAGTGTGCACTTTTATTTCGACGGCCTGTCATTTCACAGTCGTTAATTACGTGCGGGCATTTTCCGATGTTCAAGTGGAGAGATAAATTCTTAGTTATTTACATTCTAAAGCCTATGATTGACTATATTTCTTTCTGATGGCTTATTTCCGAACCTAATTTTTTTTCTCTTAAAATTTGTTCCAACTCAGGAGAAGAGTAAAATACTGAAAACCCACTCACATTTCGAAGTCTTTGTTGGAACAAGGAATTATACTCAAATACAGGAATTTTACGATGCCAATGAGTTGTAGAGCCTGTAAAGTTGATTTTTATTTATTGCAAATATCTTAACCATCTCCCGATTCATTAAAGATTGGTCTGTTGTGTCACGTGTAACAAAAGAAATCAGTCTGGTAACATAAATGACAATAGAAGCAATTTTTGAAGAAGATACATCCTATCAAGTCATTCAGACAGTAGCACTGGCACTCAACGAATAAATGCAAACTTTTACCTCTTTATAAAAAATATATTTAAAATAACTCTTATAAAGCCTTTTACTAGTGATTCTTCAATAATTTATTAAACATCCACACATGCGTTTCCACCAAAACTTTTTTCTTTTTGAGTTGTGGCTGTTGTAGCCCATGAAAGGTACCGTGCTGTCGATATAATTTTAATTCTCATTTTCCTTCAGTGACCATGCGGTCGGATGTATTATAAACAGTCATTTGCTTTCATTGTCTCTGGAATATTCTGGAGAACGGGAATATTGGGTCCAGGTAAATGTCCTTGTTCTTAATGACATCTAGTGTTCTCTATTTTGTATCTCCAAACTTTCGCTGATGAAGATGTCATTGTCACTGAAATAAAACGCCTTTCGATCTACCATTTTGATTGCAGTTATTTTCAAATGGTATTTTCAAGGTCCGTTATAAAAAAGACCATAAGACTTATTCTCCACAGCATTTACTACAATTTGGTATCATTCAATAGCCTATCGAATATATAATGTGTATTTCCTCTTGATTGAACGTGTACTTCTGTTTTAAATTAATTATGAGAATTTGTAATTAGAAAGAAACAGCTGAAATCGGTTATTTGAGTGAAAATAGGTCTTCTGAAACTTGTACACCTTCAGCTTCGACTCTCTTCTCGGAACTCGAACAAAACCAACTTTTTATCTTTGCAGCATCCAGATAACGAAGTTTAAGCGTGTACATTTTGTTGTATCAAATTGTGAATATCGCAATCCAGAAATATGTAATTATTTATTTAGTTAGAAGCAAATAGTGGTGTTTAAAATGTATGTATATAATTTGAAAAACAGGATATAGTTTCATTATTAAAATTACATATCATTTTTTGTTAATTTCAATAGTAGAAATGTGAATTTTTAGGCAAACTATTAAAGGTTTTTTCAGAGCATGCGTCCTAAAATTTCAATTTTTAGCGCTAGTACTCTTAAGTAAAAATACAAAAATATGAAAGTTCGTAAGACTGTCTAAAAAATAGTGCGTATGACACACGTGATAAAGTGATTTCATTTTTCTCGTAGGATTGCGTCACTTCGGCCCCTCGGCCTCATGTTGCTACCTTTCCTATTCGCAAAATAAAGGTCACTCTTACTACTTGTATCATAAAAAATGATTACTACTTGTATCATAAAAAATCATTATTTCGTCCATTTCATTTTCCTTTCCTTTCTACCTACCTACCTACCTACCTACCTACCTTCCTACAGTCTTTCCTTTCTAACTATCTATCCTCCTACCTACCTTCCTTTATATCTTCCTAGCTACATCATATCCTGCCTCCTTCCTCCCTCCTCCCTCCCTCCTATATACCTTCCTCCCTCCCTCCTATATACCTTCCTCCCTCCCTCCTATATACCTACCTTTCGTCCATTGCTTCATTCCTTTCTTTCGTTAATCCCTTCCCACACTTTCCATCCTCCCATTGGAACGTGGCTTGAGATGCCGTTGCTCTGACGCAGCGGGGCGTGCGTGGGGCGGCGCGCCGCGGCCTCGGCACGCGCGCGGGCGCCGCCTGTGGTTCGACGCGGCCGAGTCCCCGCCCTCCGACGCGCTGCTGGGCGCCGAGCTGCGCCTCTACCAGCGCGGCGGCCCGCGGCTGCGGGCCCGGCCCCGCCACCACCCGCACCATCACCACCAGCAGGAGGACGAGGGAGAAGAGCAAGACCAGGCCGTCAACGCGTTGGCTGACAACGATGACGATGAGGTGGAGGAAGAGGAAGAGGAGGAGGACGCAGAAGAAGAATATACGGTCACGTTGTACCAGCTGCTTCCGGTTCCGAACCAAGGGTGAGCTTCCTCAAAATTATGTTGCCGTCTTTTGTAATCACTTCCTTCTCCCATTTTTTTTTATTTTCGTTTTGATCATTTTCATTATCTCCCTCATATTCATTTTACTTATTCTTTCATGTCATGTTCAATTCATTACCTTTTTTCTGCTTTCTCGTTTCTGTTCTTTATTTCCTTCGCGTTATCTCCAGAATTTCCCAGAATTTATTCATCATCAACATTATCATAGTCATCAAGTTTAGGCCGATTCGCCTGTTTCGTCAACAAAAAGATCGCCTCTCCATCTTCTTCTGGGTCGACTTAGATCACTAGTTCTTTCGGGTGAGTAGTGGAGGAGCATATTTGGCACTATCTCGCTAGTCACCCGTTGGATATGATGGTACTATTTTCGCTCATGAATTCCCGTATTGAGGCTGAAAATATTCCAATTCGTTGCTGATTAAAGAACCGGAACCGATATCATCTTGTTAAATGTTTAATAATTAATTAATGTAAATAATCAACTGAATTAATTCAACTTAATGTATTGATTACCTTCCGGTTCTTTATCACTTTTAACAGACTTAAACCTCATATCTTACACCTCTTTGAAGATAACTCCTTACCACTTGCCGCATTGAAACCGTTGAGTAATTCACCTTTATGAGAAACTATTAGGCGAATTTTGTATGGGTCAAACTATTATAATTTCAGTTACTCTCGTAATAAATTTTGTTCTGCAATGTACAGACTATTAATCAAAGGTTAATCATTTAAGACATTATACATTTTTGAACGGAAATGATTAGGATCAGCTTGACTTTTAGGTAACTCAGCACATGTGTGCGTTCGATAAACAATTTAGCGCTTTCCGTTTATTTCCAGAACAGTACTGCATCTACTCTAGAACATTGGCGCTACAAGCAGTTCTGTTACAAGCAATTCTATTGTGTTAATCTGTTGTTGAACTTTCAAAAGTGTAATATCTCTCGTATTGGACTTAACATTACGCTGTGCTCTATTGTATAGTTAATTGTTCGAAAAGCTTTCCTCGTCACCTGCTCATTTTGATAATTCTCTTCTTTCTCGTTTCCCCCCTTAATTATTCCTTGTTACTTGTTCGTCTCTTTGCTTCCTTGTAATTTTTCTTCTTTAGATTTGATTCTGTCATTGTGCCATTTTCAGATAGGACAGAAATGTTAATTATCTGAAAGTTGAAATATTTATCTTGGATTTCAAACTACTAATCTGCGAAACGAGTGCCAAATTTTCAGATTGAAATCAATCTATTACGTATTCTTAGAACTTTGCCATTTTTAGTACTTAGTTACTTTTGACACTAGAGAACTTTTGTTTAAAGAGTATGTGAATTATAAATATTATTTAGATTATAATTTGTTCTCATCAGAAAAAAATCTTTGAGAATAGTCTGTGATATGAGTTCTTTAAAAGAACTTGATTATTGGTATGGGAAGGATAATAATTGGAAAAACAAACTTTGAAATGTTATATTCCATCGAAGATATAAAATAACTAGTTTTACAAGCTTTACAATTTTTTGCAAACACTGTACAAAATTACCTTTGTAACAGTGTCAAGTACGCGAATCTTCCCGCTTGTCCGAGCGCCTTAGTCATAGCTGAAATTTTGATACTGTGATCCTGTTAGTGAGGAAGAAGAATATTCGAGTGTTCCTCACAATTTCTGCCGCGTCTGACGTCCTGGGGGCCATGTTGCAGAGAGGCGCTGTTGCGGGTGGACGAGACCAATACCTCGCTGGCGCATGCCGGCTGGCTGCTGCTGAACGCCACGGCGCCGCTGGCCGCCTGGGCAGCCGCCCCCGCCGCCAACCTCGGCCTGCACCTCTCCGTGCACCGCACCCGTGACGGTGAGTCCACGTTCCTTTGCACTCCCTGCAGGGGGTGGGTCGGACGGTTGTTCTGGAACGAGGAAGTTGGAAACAGCGTCATTCTCGTCGTTAGTGCCAAAGTAGGTGCAGTGCGTGGTCGTTCCGGCTTTCCTGAGAGACCGATCAGTTAGTCCGTTGGTATGGACTGGAGCGTGACCTCGTCTGCAAACCACATATGCTCGTATAAGTCCCAGCGGGAAATCGCAATATCACTCGGTTCGGTAACCCTGAAGTGAAACGCTTACCTGCACGTATATAAACTCAAAGTAAGCTTCTAACAACCATTTGAAAGAAACTTTATAAATAAATAAGTAATAACTAATCTTAAAATAAGCCATAACAATTTCCAACAATGTAAATAAATAAAAGCGCACGCAAATGCCACTAGATACTACGGAACAAATACAAACGAAAGTAGCATGCATGAATGTCTCATATTCCGGTTTTCAGATAATTCCATTGTCGCAGGAACGTTGGTAGCGACACGGATTGCTAAAATGTTTCATTTTTGCTATCAAATTGCCATGAGAAATTGTTCTCGGTGAGAACGTTTTTGTGTTGGGATCAAATTTGAACTCTCGTAGATTGGTAAAACGTTTTAGTAGTTAGCACAAATCACCATACAAAATCCTACCAACAAACGTTGCCAATTTTCTATAAATCCAGAAATCCGTACAACACATTCATATCTCGTAATTTGGCACTAGCATTCTCCAATGAACACACTCGACTTCTTTCCTCAGCCTCTCCTTTATACTCCGCCGAGCGGTGGCTCGCTGGCTGGCGCGGTCTCGGAGCACACGGTAGCGTAAAGGTGGCTCCAAACATTTGGCATTCACCGAGCAGCGAGCTACTGCTCTCTCAATTCCGAGAAGCCGATGTGTTCGGCGAATGTTCGCTCTTTTTGATGTGTCCTAAAGACCGACACGCGGTGGGTAGGGCGAATACCGAATGTTCGGCGCTCGGCGATTCGCAAGCAACCCGTCCGCACTACTCGGGATTCGGCGACCGGTTGCTCGGGATTCGCCGAATGCCGCATGTTTGGAGCCGCCTTAGGGCAGTGCCTTCGGCGTTGGCACTTGCTGAGCGCCTCGGGCCCGCCGCTGGTGCGATCGCTCTGCCGCCGGCAGAAAGAGACTCCTGCTCTACTCTCTCCTCGCGGCGAGTCGTTTAAACGATCGTGAATCCTCAATTTTTTTAATAAAATTAAGATATGAGATAATTGATCGATCAATATTATAAACTAACTTATTGATAAGGCAGTTAATAACTCTTACTTGTAGCTTGTTCTTTCACGTATGTGTGTGTGCACATTATAAAAAATGTGTAAATTTATGGTTGTTACAAATCTTTCAAGTGGTTTATCCCTTTTGTGATGTCGTTGATATGGTTATACACCACCAGAACACAGAGAAAGTGAGCTCTATACTGTTTATTTACATAATTATATACTCGTACAATGTACAAGTCCTCACTCCGAAGCGTTTGTAGGAGCTAACTACCTTCAGCCCTCCTCTCTAGTCGCGCCGTGAGGCAGCGCCAGAAAATAGCACCTCGTGCACACAGCACACCGCGCCAGCCTGGGCGGACAAAGTTTTTGCATCATTACTACGAGGAAACCAAAAAACTTTAACCGCGAGTGGATTCGCGGCACTCCCTTATAAAGGGCCGAACCACGTGACTTGGTACGTCATCTGCTGCCACGCGCTCCCCTGGGACGCTTCTTGAGCGAGCTGTCTCACCTCGCGACACTTCGGCGCCACATAACCTCCCCCCCCTCAGGAAATCCATCTGGTCCGTTGTGGCGCTCGTTGTTCGGGTGGCTGCTTTTAGCTACCCTCATGCCCATGCCCTGCAAGGCCTTCTCTGATACAATAAGCCTAGTCCTATGACGCTATACTATCAAACCTAATAAAAATAATTTGTTTCCTTGTGTTGCCTTATGTAATAATTGGTTGGTGGACATTTTCAAGAGTTTAACCTGTTATATCTCTCATAGCGCTCGGATTATCTGAAATATTTGTCCAATTTGGTGCGGTGGAGCGCGATCTGGAAAGAAAAATGGAACAGATAGGGCTTGTCATTGACAGCTGCCTCTAAAGCTTCATGTGAAAATGAGCAGCAGATCCTTCCCCACTTCACGGGCAAAGTCTCACAGATTGTGGCTTGTGTATAGGTCCATTTGGCACTCGCTGGTGCATGGGCCCATCGTCAATGGAGATTACTCACTAGCACAATACCTCCCTTCTAGAATAGAGTAATGGCATGTGTACTATTATCTTAATAGTAGTGGAGAGGCGTCAAGAGATCTCCCTCTTTTTCTTTCTCTGCCTGTTTTAACTCCAACAGCACTACCTGTCAAAAACTCACACATGTGGAGATTTAATCTACATTGAACCTATGAAGACTCGAAGTATTCATTACACGAAACAAATTGATATAATATAGTCATCACCATTCTTCCGACTTATCCAAGCTTCATGTGAATAAATCAATCGGTACGTCGCCGCTGCTTTTCTGCTGCTGGTTCCAAAGTTTTGAATCCCACCTCCTTTTCCATATCGTCTCTACCGTTCACACCCCGCAACTACATACCTGCCATCTCATACATAAAGGGAGCGACCCTACAATGACGCACATCAATTAGAAAATGTTCTAAGAACAATGCTTTTGTTACCTTGAGCACAGGTAACCTATTCTGACACAATTCCTTACGTAGCTCCTGGAATATGTGGAGGTAACCTTAAGTCGGAATCCTTAGAGCAAAACAAATGCGTCGTCAGAAGCTAGCAGCTTTCTCTTTACATGACCAGTTCCTCCAGTTTTTGGCATTAACCTAGTCAATGCAGCATTTACCACCACCGCTGGCATAATCAAAGTAATCTCTTGAAGATAAGCGCGTCACGATCAGGATGCCATGGTACCTACTTTATTGACGATCGTGATATTTGCAAAATGCTCGTCTCTTCCTGCTAGTCACAAGAAACACTTGCCTTATGTTCGGCAAGCGGAAATCCTCAGGAAACCAGCCATCGACTGACGATGGCAACGGTTTCATTGCAGATACATATTAATATCTCGTATACATACCACGTTGTCGACCGCAATGACAATGACGACTGACACAATATTGATTCCGCCTGTGACTGGGAGCCTAAAGACTTTCTTAGCGTGAACACAACACCTACCTTGTGGAACCCCTGCAATAATGGTGTGTACTATCGGTCCATGACCCCTACTAGCATTCTGCGACTGAGGTATTCAAGCACTATTCACCTCAGGTTCGTTGGCATATTGACTTGGTGGAGGACCTTATGTTCATCGATCTACCTTGCCGAGTTAAAGGCATTTTAATTTTCAGTGTTACAACGCACCACACAGTATTGCTTTTGATCGCTTTTTCATCTGCTCCCTATGTCGTGCAGTATCAATGTCTGGCTGAACAGGGACGATTGTTAAAAGAGCATTGAAGAGGCCGTATTTTCTAGAGATCCTCCTTTATCTATAACCTCTTCAATGTGGTGCTTCTGTTATCTTCAAAAACACCTTGCCCGACACTATCGAGCATACGCAGAGGACGGTTTCGGTTTCGACTCTTCGTGACGTTTTCCCCCTTTAGAAGTACGAATTGTTCTTTTTTCTCAATTCTCACGAAATATCCCCCTCAAAAGACATAATTCGTAGAGATCCGCGAAGACCTTTTTCGTAGTCGCGATGTTGGTGATATTATCCAGCCCCAGACCTTTGGTGTTACCAATTCTGTCGATTGCATCTTTAGTGACGGGTGGTTTCATTTCTGGCAGAAGTGGTGTTACGATGTTCGTTAGTTCGTTATTTGAGCAGGTTGAAGACTGCGAATGCGACCTTATAAACTTGTCCCTGGCAGTCTTTTAGGACACACTCCCTTACATTTTTGTCTACTTCACCGTACAGAGTTTTAGTGCGAAGACGTTTACTTGCCCGGTCGTTGCCTGCACCGAGGAGGCTGCATGCTCGAGTCCTACTGAGGAATGATCGTATATATGATTGTCTCTTCACACTCATCAATCAACCTATTACCTCATAATTCACAATTAAAGGCGAATCAACCTTGTCTTACCGAAGGCTACAGCTGATCCTGATAGTTACACACATTAATCGTGTTGCGTGGTCAGAATTGGCCGATACGATGATGATAATAATGATAATAATTATGTAATGAATGTGGCTCTCACGACCCTCCCTCGCTCTCACCAGTTCGAATGTCTAAGTACATCCTTGGTCCCACGTGCGTATAAAATGAAAATCCGACCCCTGGGGACCGTCCATTCCTGCCACATTCCCTCCGGGGCCTCCGGGGCAGAGCGGCGGCCGACTGTTTACCTGGCGGCGGCGGCGGCTGCTACGCTGCTGCTGCTGGTGTATGCGGCGCGGCCGGCCGCGGGGGCGGGGCGCGGGGTGCAAAACAGGTTTGGGAGCGCCGCCGCGGCAAGGACGCCTCCATGACAGCCACCTGGCCGACTGGCTCTCGCGTGGAGAGGAGTGGAGTGGCACGGCTACTGCTTCTAGAGATGCGCGGCGACGGCGGCGGAGGAGGAGGAGCGAGGAATGCAAAGCCGACGAAGATTTTTTTATCGCCAGGGCGTACCTACAAGTGCATAACTGACGTCCAAGGCAAATGTCGTTTAGTTATTTGTGATGAAAAGTAAAACGCCTTTGGAAGATACTCTGGTTAAAAATCTTTTCTGACAGTTGTCGGGGAGGTGTTTTAAGGGGTAATGACGTACGAATCATAAAACAATTGGAAAGTCAAAATATGATGTTTGTGGCTTTTATTTATTACCAACATTTTATTTATTTAAGACCTTCACTTTTAAACACTATTTATTCTTGAATTATCCTCTTAACTTTTGAATAATTGTTTGATTCTGTTGTTTGTTATGTTTCATTATAACTTTAACAGTATAAGTTGCATATCCTCTCACCATTCGTACGTGTAC